CTAGAGGAAGCAAAGGAAGAAACAAATGAATGTGGAGCTCAGCTAATAAACATGAAAACAATCAGGAGAAATATTGGTAATGGTTTTTGTTCAGGATTTGCTTTCTGTGACTTATAAGATAGCCAAATAACCCCAAATAAGGGCTCCTAAGATTGCATCGTGGCTAGGCCTTTGAGTGGACCATTTTCTTTGGCATGCAATGACTAGCTATTTTCTCTTTTTTTTTTTTTCCTAGGTAGGGATCCCATTTAAGCCTCCGCCAGTTCCAGAAATTGCTGTAAAGATTATTCAGCAATGTGATTTCAGGGATCACTTAATAGAAACTTTTAGCTGGGTTACAAAATTTTGCAGTTACCTGAAAGCAAGACCATTATACATATACATATACATATACATATACATATACATATACACACACACACATACACATACACACACACAAAGTTTTTACCTACTCTAACAAAGACATGTCTTCTGCCACTTACCTTTGTAGGATCCTGCTTGCCGATTTGCGCTAGGGTCTGAATTGCAACGACCTGGATGTATTCAGGATATTTAGCAGTCTCACACAGGACTTTTATATGTTTCTGGCTGCTGATCTGACCGGCATTGCCAATAGCTTTCATGCCTAATACCATTTTGTTTTCTTCTTTATCCCGAACTGCCTCAGTTAGGATGTTGTGGAGAGGCTATAAAGAATTAACAAACAAACAAACAGGATGTGGGTCTGTGCACTCGTATGCATATATTTTCAACTCTGTATCCAAATACTCTGTATTGCTTTCTGCCAAGAAAACTAATGTTCTTTTGTTTCAATATTATCTCTATATATAAAATCAAGATTTAGATCTTGATATCCATCTAGATCTATAAATAAAATTAGCCATATACCTCAAGCAATTTAGGATGACAAGTTCGAGAAGTAGAACATTGCCTGTTCACCATAGTCCCATATGCCAGGTAGGTTGCTTTTCCAAGGAAAGATGTTTTGTCAGGGATTTTGGAAAGTAATTCCTGTTGGGAAGAAAACAAAATTGTTCTTAGAATTTAGGAAAACACTCTCAATTGAGGGTCACAAAGCATCCTATGTAGATTTTTAAAACATGTTAGTGTGCCATTCAACAACAATGTAACATATACTCACTGCTGTCACTTTAGCAGTTTCCTCCACTTTTGTAATATCTGGGTTAGCAAAATGGAAGGTTGTGGGCAAAAGCCAAATCAGGTCAGAATAAGCCAGTTCTCCACTGACTGCCTTGTCCTTGATGAACTTCACTGTGATCAAATTACCCGCATGCACACATGAAATCAATAGGTTTTTTCTGCAATGAATAGAAGGACACATTCTTAAAAATATCATGAATCCTCCACTAATGAAGAAACGTTTTCTGGCTGATTTTTCCGTGAATCTTGATAATTCCTCTGGAAAAAACAACATTAGGGGTTTCAGGAGATTAAGGTAAAAGCTAGCGTGCAATATTCAAGTTAGCTAACATACCTAGCAACAGGGATTCTTGAAACCTTATTGTAGAGAGTTGACAGATCGTTGTATGACATGCGTTGTACAAGTCGGACCAATACTATAGCCTTGGTGGAAAACATTTTATCCTGCATTTGCCAGTGCACTGAGTCTTGCAAGAGTTGCTCAGCCTATCAAGGAAAAATCAAGAACAGCATGAGCATATACTCATTCCAACTGCCAAGATCATGGTGTTTTCTGTTTGGTTTTGAAAAGGTTAAATTATTCATTTTTCTACCTGTTGTACAGGATCTCTGTTGTAATTCTCCATCACGGGCAAAAAACAGACTTTTGGGAATCTCATAACGAATGCTGGTTACTTCAAGCTCTCCTTCTTCTTGTTGTTGTTGTTGCTGCTGCTGCTGCTGCTGCTGACCTTGGTCAGGTCTCACTTCTCTCAAGTTCAACAATTGGCTGGAAGAAAAAAACACACACACACACATACACACATAAATGACTAAATCATCAGAAAGGAGGACTCCCCCATTTGAAACACTGCAGGATTGACTCCAGAAAGTCAGAAGAAGGTAACTAGAGATAAGAGATGGTGCAACCAAAGCCAATAGAAATGCACTGCTATTCCAAAACTTTGAATAAAAGAAACACATTTGAGCTATATCTATTTGCTAATTTTCTAAAAGTGTTTAATCTGAATTCCCAACATTGCATTGTTCATCCCTAAATGTAAGACTAGTGCATTCGATTCCATAGGAAATTATGGCTTTTATGAGGTTTTTCTGCAAATCAGGTCAATTGCCAGGTCATGATAAGGATTATATTATATTATTATGAGCCATGGTGGTGCAGTGGTTGGAATGCAATACTGCAGGCTACTTCTGCTGACTGATGATTGCCGGCAGTTCAGCAGTTCAAGTCTCACCAGGCTCAAGGTTGACTCAGCCTTCCATCCTTCCGAGGTGGGTAAAATGAGGGCCCAGTTTGTTGGGGGCAATATGCTGACTCCACTTAGAGAGAGCTGTTAAGCACTGTGAAGTGGCATATAACTCTAAGCGCTATTGCTATTATCACACCTAAGATATTTTTGCCATTGTCAATTAAACAAATACTGTGCAAAATCCTTAAGAGTCAGTGTTATCTTCCACAAATTTAAGGCCATAAAAATGCAGTTCCTCTTTTTTTGTTCTTAAAATGAAAAGTGGTGTTGGCAAAGATATATTTGCTGGATTGGTTTCTGTTTCCAGGCAGCCCTGGATCTGCTGGTAGATTACTAGAGTTTAGTACAGAACAAAGAAGCACAGATCTATTGAAATTACATTCTAATGTTGCCATAGTTCAGAAATGCCTTTCAATGCATAGATAAGGTGGACTAAAAAGCAAAGGAGACTAAACATAGTGCAAAATGTTTGTTTGTTTGTTTGTTTGTTTGTTTTGATATTGCTACTTACTGAGCTTTCATATATCCAGTAGCATCCTCTCCACCTATAGGGAACTCCAATACTTGTTCAGACTTGACTTGAGTGATCAGATCACCTTTGTTGTCACGCTTCACTTTGGTGACAAAGGCAGATGTGCCTTGAACAAATCTTTCTCTCTAAATAACAAAAGGAGACATATTTCACAAGGAGAAATACAATATAATCTTACAAATAGTATACTATTTTAAAGCCGTGGCTAGCAGCTCTTCCCCCCCCCCCCCACCCCATTTTTTAAAATTATATAAATACAAAAAGTCCTGGTCCAGATCAGAACTGTAACCTAAGAAATGGGGGACTCCCCTCCCTTCGTGTCCCAGTTCAAAATCTCATATTTGTAGTTTGCAAAAGGAAAGCCCTCCATTAAAGCTAAGAGACCCACACCAACATGTGAGAAAATAGATGTAGAGCACTCTTACTTGGAAGCAGTTGGGTTGCTGGAAGAGATGGAAGAAGGGGATTCCAACATTCAGCATAACTTTTTGCTTGCAGTTGTTCAGGTCCCTGATTCTGTTAAACAGGTAGATGTTGTTCTTTTTCTCCTCGTAGAGAACGTACCTGGTGTTGCACTCGCCTTCAAGCCCATCCTGCCAATATTGAGAAACTCAGTTTGTACAAGAACATGGAAACTCACATTCCCAATGAGAGTCAAAGGGAGAGATCTGCAGAAGGTTTAAATAAAATTGGGTGCATTTAAAATGTCTACAGCTTAGGGACATCATTTCCCACCCCCATTATCTGTTCCTTTACATTCTGTTCCTTTACTAACGTTTTTCAAATCTTAGCGGGAAATAGACTTATCAGTTGTTCAGGAACATCCAAAGAAGTTCCTGGACATGAATAGCCACCTATTTGAGGGAGAATAGCAATTGATACCTAAACAGATTGGTTCAAATCTGGCTATCTTGGTGTCTCTATTTCCTTGTCAGGAAAAAAAAAAAAGGTAAGCAAAGTAGCAAATTAAAAAGAGTAATCCAATATGCTTTGAAATCACATTGCTCAAGGAGGTAGGAGACACTTGATTCTTCATATGTTAATGGATTCCAAATGCTATCAGCTTTAGCCAACATGGCCACAGATGTTGTTTTGCAACATCTGGAAGGTTCCTGGATTTTTTTTAGCTTAATGTAAATTATGAAGAAAGGAGGTATTCTACTGCAGTAAAATAAAGCTTGAAAAAATGAAAAAAAAATATTTTAAAAAAGCCTAACCTCCAGTACTTCATACTCTTTCTGGTACCGTGGTGTGAGAGTGAGCAGGTTCAGGAAGCCTTTCAAAATATTCCTGCAAAATGGATCTGCATTCTTTGGCATACGGATGGAGCCATATCTTCCAGTGTAGGTGAAATGGACTCTATACTTCTGGCATTCAAGCATCTGTTTATATTCCCTTCGTGGTTCTGACAAGGTACTTCTCGGGTGGAATCCAACAGCATCTCGTACTCTCATATTCCTTAACTAAGAACAAAATGGAGGGCAGAAAGTAAGAAAGGAAGCAATTGTTCAGTCTTGTGCATGTCAGTAGGAGAGATTAAAAATTATTAATTTGGAAGGGATTGTGCTTATTCCCCATGACAGAATGTGTTTTAAATTCAAACAGGAAGCAAGTAAAAAATGCACTAATATTATTTTACTGAACTGCTATTCCCCCCACTTTAAAAAAAAAAAAAAGACGATTTCTGCACTAGCCAATCATAGCAACATTCAACAATAAAAAGCCTGTTCCCATTAATGATTAATTGGCATAGTGATGTAAACCATGAGACTCTTATCCAAACTACAAATGACCTTATCCCTACTGTTCTGACAATGCCATGGGAGGATAC